CGGTCAACGGTATAATTTATTGGCGTTAATAATCGTTGATCAACTACGCCTTGTTATATTATGAAAATAATGACGAATGACCGCACATTTATACTACACCGCACAATCAAAGCATGTGCTCGTTCGTGCCCATGGTGAGACGATTTCAAAGAAGTCCAACAAGAACTATGTCACACACACACACACACACACACCAACACACCAACAAAAAAAGAGAGACATGAGTTCCGCTAAATATCGAAAAGTACGAAATTAAACTGGATAAAAAATGACCACCGACATGATTTGATCATTTTTTCCCCTACTTTATTTTGTTTTTCTTCTTTCATTCACGTCACCGTCATTGTTCGTTTTTCCACCACTCTGCCAACGTTCATTCGATTGAGTCAATAGCCGAAAGCAGTAGAATGAAAAATGTTCGACGTAATTGTGTGTTCTATTCCGTTCGTTAATCGTTAATAATGTTATTTGTTTCGCAGAGCAGACGCTTACTATTTTTGTCTGGTTTTCCGTTTTTTTCCTTTCTGTTTCGTTTATTGCTAACGTAAATTGAGAAAAAATTAAATGTCACGATGTCTGAAACCGACATATTCTCTTATCCGATATTTGCCATCAATCGAAAATCTGCAGAGCATTTCTCATATGCATGCCCATTAAAGCTACAGTTGTTCACACAGTCAGCAGCATACATTTTCCAGTTCTAAAAATGAAAATCTCGACAAAACATTATCCGATAAATTCAATCTGTTCATAGAGGAAATACTATGTTTGATGCATGAATATGGGTGAAAAGTATCAACGAAATCTGACGTTTAGCCGATGTTGAAATGCACATTGCTTAGTCCAATATATTATCCCGAAATATTGATCTATTTAATCAACCAGTGAGGATTTTTATTCTGTTCTTTTGTACGTATAAAAATGAAAAGTATAGTCTAGTGTTTGAAAAATATGCACGGAATGGGGGTGAAGAGATTGATGTGCACAAAAGTGACCCCCTGACATGCGAATGTATAGTATACAAGTGATTTGTGATACGGTAGCTGTAGCGCGATTTATGTCGAAAAGCAATGGAGTGAAGGTCACCTGTAAGTGTTAATGGACGACGCATTCCCCACCCTCAAACTATTTATGCTCCGTCTTACGTTGAACATTAACTGAAAACTGTTGCAACAACAACAAATAAGCGTAAAAGATTATGTGTATTGATGAGAGTTGAAAGCAAAGAGCCACCGTTCATCGTATGATCTCGTGAATAAGACGATAAGCACATCACAAACAGTTGCAAATGCAGTATAGCTGGTAAATCAAAAAATGTACGGATATAATCCTGCTTCTTAGCAAATGAACTTGCATTAGTGATGATAAAAATCTCATGTATTGGTAGCTACCAATTGAAAGCGTTTACTCGTTATTTTCTGTTTGCATTTCGGTAGTACATCGTATCAGAAACCAGTTTTTTTTTTCGTTCGCAAAAGAGGCCATTCCTCAAGTATGTGTCAGTTTTACGGGTTGATTGTCGACACATAAATCGTCTTCCGAATTAATGGATGAGAGTAAATCCGTAATGCAAACATGGTGAAATTGAAGCGATTTACGCTTCGCTGAATGTGTCGCTTAATCGTTGACAAACATACATACATACATGTGTTAGGGTGCACGGAATCACAATATCAGGCAACGCCATCATGCTAAAAAATAATTCGTCTGAATATTTGCTTACTTCTTTTTTTATCTCTCTCTCTCTCTCTCTCTCTCTCTCTCTCTCTCTCTCTCTCTCTTCCGCTCTGGTTCGGCTTTTGTCGTCGTATACTAGCGTGGGCGCATTCGCTTTTGTACTTTTGTTTGCTTTTAATTCCTGTAATCAATTAACAATCGCATAAATTAAATGTATTATTATGTATTATTGTTTTAGTGGAAGCAAATCGGTAGAGATTAAAAAACAATAACGATCACACTGCTAACAACATACAGTAAACGGCAACAACATCAACACTCCAACATTCCAGGCCAATATAATGGCGTTCCATTCATTCCCCGTTATTTAAATGCGATACGCGGTATTTAGTTCGATGTAAGCGCCTTTATCGCGGTAACATTCAGTTCTTTTTGCGATGAAAAAAAATGAATAAAACCATTCAAAACATACGCGCACGCATATACTCACACACACACACCCATACGTGCTCACACATCAAATATCACAGCATATTGTTATACGATTGCATCGTGTTCTTGCACTCATAATATTTGTACATATTTACAATGTGTATGTGCGCGCGCTAGAAACAATCGATTTAATAAGCCCGGATTTTTAATGCCATTCAGTGTAACATAAAAAGCATTGTCATCCCAAACCAACGAGTAATGGGATTGAATGAACGGATGAACGAAATGTGGTGAGGATGCTTTTGATGTTGCATTAACCACACAATGCCGAACAATAACCTGTGCTTCGGTTATTAAATTCCGGTATTTGTCTTCTTCATTGGGTTTTTATTTTCCTTGTTGTTGTTGTTGTTGTTCTATGTTTTGTTTCATCTCTGTTACTCGTTCCTCAGAACAATCGCTATTTGTTCGTTGAAGATCACACAGCACCTCATTGTTTATTTGCCTGTGAGTGGAAGAACGTCGTATTTATTCATTTGAATTTCACATGTATATCCGCGAACATGATAATAGGGTTCAGATTCTCGCATACATTCATTCCACATATTACAAAGCCCCATTTGAATTTGTCAAGAGATACTCTCGTTGTTTTCCATCATCTCCGTTTCTCTCTCTCTCTCTCTCTCTCTCTCTCTCGTCTCCGTTTTCATTTGATTTTCTCATTACATACGAGGCCATAGCATCGACTCTACTATCCGGTTAAGTTGTAACGATACAGTTTATTCATTCGTGTTGAATTAGCAACCGATACTTCCCACTGAAATGTGAATAAAAGCTTTTGATAACATTTATTTGAATTTTTCTTTTCATTCTTCACCAAGCTTAAGCATTTTATTAAAATGCCAACATGAAAGGAACAGTAACTATATACATCGCACACACAGAGAGCATAGGCAAATTGGAAACCTATTGAAATTCTATCGTCATTTCATCGGTACACCGTGTATCCGATTTCAAAACTTTCTACACCCCGAAGTATTGTGCACATCTAAAGAGCTTACAAACCATTGCAATTTGAAGCATCATTGATGCATCAAACGCCAGAGGAATCATATCGATTGAAATACACATGAAAAGTTGAAATTTTCAAAATGTTCAGAACTCACTTGCGTTTCATATTGCAAACATGCAAATGCAAAACAATTAGAAGAACGAGAGCTTAGGCATAGTTGGAACTTCTTGAATTTGACACACAAGATTGAATGGCGTTTTGTGGTCGACAAACAATTCCAGTGGATTCGAATTAGTGCTAAAGTAAATGTAGACGCTTAATGGAAGCTCCAAAAATAAAATTGTCTCATCCACTTTTTCTCTCCTCCGCTGAGTATAATAGTGGTATTATCTATTGATTGATGCATTTGTGCATATGAACGTGCAGGTCAACAGAAACGCATCGCTCCTTTCGCACTCTCTATCTCAAATTCGTTCACATTGATCTCATTTAATCATATCGCGTGTATGTATGTGGGCAAGCGAGTGAGGGGGACAGGTTACATGGAGTATGTGTGTTTTTTTCCTCACTGTTTGCCGTTGTTGTGGTGGTATTTTGAATATGTGCTTTATTTTCGATAAAACCGCGGAAAGACCCATGTGAAATTTAACATGTGAACAAACCGCATTTTGGCAATAATATTATTAAATTGGATAACGGCTTTTTTTTGGTGTTTCATTGTTGACCACCATCGATTTGTTTGGATGATGGCCGGTTTTTTGCCATTATTTCTGCCATTCTACACATCTCGCTTTCGCATCACAATTGGCTATGTTGATAGTGCAGTCATTCTAACGACATGCTCGGGCTGGCTGGATCATTCTGTACAACATATCAATCTCGCTTTTTAGTTGCACTAGTTGGTGAATGGGGTGAACCGATGTGGAGGATTTCCTCAATTTGTGTGCATGTATGTTTAGATATTGCTGTTGTTGTTGTTTTCTCTTTTTTTGTCGAATCTTCTATGGCAAGTTTTTGGCGTTGAAGCACTTTAATTTTCACGGTGTTGAGATCGAACGTCGAGACGATACTGTTATCTCGAATTGCATTGGCCGTACACGGATTTTTTTTTTCTTCTCCGATGCCCTGACCATTTAAATTGTTTGAAATTTGAATGCATAGTTGAATGCACTCTGGCCCCATAGCTGAACCCATCATAATTTATTGAATAAATGGGAAATGCGCGCTGCAATGTGTTTAACCGGAAACTCGAACATCCAACGCAGAAATTTGCGATTGAAAATTGCCAACCACAAATTGAATAGTATTGATAGCGGCTAAATCGATGGTTTTGTAAAGCGTGAAAAAAATTACATATGCGAATGCATGTGGCAGGTGAGAGAGAGAGAACAGAATTTTACGTAATTCGTCACTCTTTTTGGCCGAGCACACTATAGTAGGTTTCGGCTGCCAACACCAAACAAAATAGCAGCAACATCAATACTGGAGAGAAATGAAAGAATACAAAAAAAAAACCTAGCAAAACCAACCGCGCGGCACTAGAGAAATTTGAATTTATTGGTGAATTTGATGGATTCTATTAAATTCTCTAGCCTAGCCAATTCGATAATAGCCATTGAGTTTTAGATTAAACCCGCACATTTATCGACTGTATGTCTTTATGGTGTGTGTATAAATTACACACATTGAGCGGTACGCTTGAGTGTTCGTGCACGAACAGATTCATATGCTAACAATCGCACATACATAGCATAAACTGTGAGCGAACATCAACCGAGTAGAGATATACATACCGATAATAAATGATTTCAAACCGATAATAAATGATTATACTATGGCAAATCTAACCAAATTAAAACAATTTCATTTCTAATTTCAGAACATTATCACATATTCGTAGGGGATTTAAGTCCTGAAATAGAAACACAACAGCTTAAGGATGCGTTTGCACCATTCGGAGATATATCGTAAGTAACATGAATTTGTTGTTTTTTCTTGGTTATTCTCTTCGGTTTTTCGTCTCCCGAGAGAAGTCAGTGTAAATACGTTTTCTGTCGATCAATTGCTGATTGTGCGATGCAAGTCGAAATGCTACGAACACCGAACGTTATCTCAATGCACTTCATTCACATGTATTCATAACGAGTTGTAAGCAGTGTACTAATTAAAATAGAAAGTCAGCACTTCTGTGCCGAAAAATTCGACGAACAAACGAGCAAAATAAGTTGAGATGAAGGCATTGGGCAGATGGGTAAATGTGCGACGAAATCGCAACGTGTGAGCACGCAGGCAGGCAGTCGACAATGCAATAACACAACACAAAAGTGAAATAAACAAACGCAAAACGAAATCAATCACATTAATTTGATTATATTTGCCAAACATTAGGTATCGTTTCTGGTTTCTCTGAACTAATTTGAAATGGTCCGTCTTTACCATTCCTCCGATTTGGTTTGGATGTTGGTTATTCTCTTTTTCTCATTTCTCGTTATTTCCTTCGATTGCTCTCTCTCTCTCTTTCTCTCTCTCTTTCTCTCTCTCTTTATCTTTCGCCCATCATTTCAATTCGTTTCTTGGTCATTTCAATGGGATGACAGTTTGTGAAACGCAATTGTCTTCGGCCAAATGTGTATTGCCTTTGTGTGTTGCAATTTACCACTGAGTCGAACTCTTACTCCCAAATATGGTGCGGGAATATATGTATGTACTACAGAATCGATTGAAGTACGGTTTTAGTTTTGCTAGGCATTGGGAATGGCAAAACCAGAATGAGAATGAGAACGAAAACGAACGGCCAATAGTTAATAGCAAACCACGCATCTAAATCCATTTACAAAAATACACTCACTGGTACATGCACACAAAATTCACATTGAACCAGAAGAGCCATCAACGTACAAATGGATAATGGAAGCACAAGCTATTCGAAAAGGTACAAAAAGGATCCATGGCCAATGAGAGGTAGAGAGTGAGAGGGCGAGAGAATCGAAAACAAATTGTATCTGGAAATGAACAACACATTTGTACTAATCTCCTTAATGATAACCACAACATATTGTGTTACATGCAATTAAGAGATAAAACACACACATAGCGACCAGATAAAGACGTTGAAATTGATACAATTTCGGTATATTATGTTTCATTTTTCGATTGTTTTTATCGTTGGTACGCTACTAACGGCTGTAATGTGCCACACGAATCGGACGAGCACCGACCAAATGCGAAGAAAAAGTGCGGGGACAATGCAAAAGGACAATAGTGAGTTCGTTGCCGTCGGCACAAATAAGCCCGTACCATTCATTTGGTTCACATAAATTAACAAGAGAAATCAAAGTTTTTTTCTGTTGCTTTTTCGATTGATAGAGAAGTTTGTGTGAGCAGATCCCATTGCTGGACCGGAAAAAAATACAATTAAAACACATTCACCGAAAAGAGTCGATGTCATTTTTTTCGATTCTTCATTAAAAAAAAAAGAAGAGCGAATCATTCTTCAAATGCCCCTACAGCGTTCATTCGGAAAACATTCATTCCAATTAGGAGGTAAAAATGTATCACATCGCTATTTGATGAAAGCCAATTTATGAACGATGATTCATGTATCGAGTATAATGTACAGAAGAAGACAAAAAAAAAACCTGCTAACGGAGACAACATTTCTTCACCAAAAAGCATTAACTACATTTCGAACTATGGGGTAGATGTCACATGTTTCGCCCTTTTCCCTAGGTGCTTTTCTTTTCTCTCCCTTTCTCTCTCTTTCTCTCTCTTTCTCTCTCCCTCGATACATCGGCCATGATAAATGACAAACTTATAACTTTTGTTCAATTCGATTGGATGGCTTTACACATTATTTCGTCTGACATTGGTATTTAATCATTTTTATTGATAACCTTGTGAATCAATGCCATTAAATTTCTAAGAAATGTTATGACAAGTCAGTTGAGTGTACACATTTCCACTATGTTCCATTCATTTATTTTCTTGAAAACCCAAAACATTCACAAAACAACAAGAAGAAAAAACGTAAATCGTTCAAGTAATTTGTAATAAATTAAGTAGTCGACATAAACAAATACTAACATGGCAACATGAATTTGCCTCACATTGATACCGCACTACATGTAGCCATTGTGTACCCTAATTGTCAATCATTTTGTACGGTCTTAAGACACGGGTATTGCTGTGACACATCAAATTATAATCTGTTCATATTTAATATAACGAAAGAATTCTAATTTAAAGTTGAGATAATGGAATATTTTTGGACTAGATTGAAATGTACGGTGACGTGCTTGGGGCAGTTTATTTATGCTCATGGATTTAGAATATCTAATGTGCGCAGTGGCAGCTGCGGTGTGTTGTACAAGCATAACCATAAGCATAAGCAAAACATACAATGTTTGTAGTTATCCCGCGTTCACTCCAATTGGTCCTTCAGCCAAAAGGGAAATAATACCGAAAAAAATGCCAACTTGTAATACACTGCTGCCCCAAAATTTCATACGTGAATTTTGGTAGATACGGATTTCTTTCCCTTTATCCGACAAACAAGAGAGCATAAAATCGAATTCAACATCTCGGTAAACATTCATGCCATCGTACGGTTGTGGCAAGCAATTTTTCATCAAAACATGTACACAAGCACTCGCAAGTACATTTGCCGGCGATAGTCGAAAGCGAAATGAAACGTTAAAATAGGGCAAAAACTTAATACAACAGTCGTTCGTTCATTCATTTTTTTCGGCTCACCCTCTCTCTCTCTCTCTCTCTCTCTCTCTCTCACTCTCTCTTTCTTTTTCACTCGGCGGGTGTATGTGTGTATTTGTGTGTGGTTTTTTTTTCTGGAATGTTATTCATTGAAATTATTTGTCACTGTCACGTTTCTTGGTTTTTCGTTTGATCCTTCGCTCAAATTTAACACCGAAACACTGTAAATGTAGCTTGAGCAGAGAAATGAGAAAATTACTTTTAAGTAATAAACCGGAAATGTACCAGAAATTGTGCAAGCTTCTCTCTTTCGCTCTAGTTTCGGTTAAAATCCAGGTACGAAAGTTGGTGGTTATTGAGGAGGAAAGAAAAATAATGACCGCATTTCATTACTCAAATTGGAAAATTTCTCGTCCTTCTTCAAGAGCAATTCGAATTCGTCGCTTGTTCTCGTTCTATATTGCTGTCTCTCTTTCTATTTTCATTGCTCTTGCTCTCTACTTTCCTGTTGTCATCTAGAATGCTGTACGAACGACGATATTCATCATTTATACGATTTTAAATTCAAAACACACGTCAAACGATCCAAACTTTTGGCATAAATCTCATTCGGGGTGACAAAAAAAAAGAAAATAATTAGAGGATAAAATATTGATTCAGCACAAATCAACAAGGACTTAAATAAAACCACCGAATTGCGGAGCATTTTGCTCCCCGAACGACGACGGCCACTCTTATCCCATCATGCGATCGAACAAAGTCATCACTTCATGAATCACATGCAACCGTACAGCATGCAGTACAAAATGCATTTCTTTGTTATGCGATCCCTTTTGTCTCTGAACGGACGTGAGTTTGTTTGTCGAACGGTTCTTAGCCGCTTTTGCTCTCTTTCGTTCGCCTAAAGTGTGAATGAATCGGTTTGCATCTATACCATATAAAATGCAATGTGTATTTTTCGTTTTGCACGGAGAGATAGAAACAAAAAACTACAACATTTTGATTTATTACTTTATCTGAAGTACAAAAGCGTGTATGCATGCAATTCAATAGTGTTTTCAAACCAGACAGCTCCAATTGCGGGTTCTATGTGTGCATTCAGCTGCTATGTCTGTATATATGTACGTACATCAGACTCTCTGATCGTCTGTACAAATAGATAGGAAACGTCAAACAAGAACAATAAAGCGGCACCTGGCGACTGGTTGGAGAAATAGAGAATTATGCTGATATTTTGCTGTAACAAGTATGCGTCTGTGTAATTCAAACGTTGAAAGTATGACACGTTGCACTTAGTCCCCAGGTGCCGCTGTATTGTTTACTATTTTCATGATCAGAAAGGCTGACGTACATAAATGTATGATGCACTAATACACAATCCTATACTTCTCTCATGTCTATTACACTGTGCAACAATTTTAAAGACAAGTCAAAGGGCCAAGACTTGGTATGGTGGAGATGTTAGTACTACCATAGCTGAGTAAAACCCCAACTGGGTCTTGAAAGTTTAGTAGGGGTTTTTATTTTATCGACCTAGGCAGTTTTTGAGATTCAGTGGATTTTTCAGAGTTGACTTCATCAGTTTTTGGTCAATAACTCATCTAGTATTGGTGATAGCATGTTATTGTTTTGAGCAAAGTTGTAGCCAAAGGTCCAATAAACAAGTTTTGTGAACAAACTTTACCAAAAAAATCACATTTGGTGGGTGCAAGTGGGCTAAATGTCCGAAAAAAGGTAGATTTTTCCAGTTTTTCGACCATAACTTACGAGGAATACATTTTTTTTACTCACTTTCTTCGTCAAAATCATAGCCAGAGAAAAATTAAACAACTCTCTAGAACACATAAACTCAAAAAAACCACATCCAGTCCACTTTATTGGCTGAAAATCAAATTTGGCTACCAAACAACATTTTTGAGCATTTTTTGAATTCCTATAACTCCTCAACTGATCGAAATAGAGCAATGGTGTCTGAAGCAACTTCGTAGTACTGCCCAAGAACTTTGCAGGCCAATTTCTAAAAGTACTAAAATAGTACTAAAAACGTACTAAAATGTACTGAATTGCCTAAAATCATTTTGATGGCCATCGGCCACTCTGAATGATGAAAAACTGAACCCTAGCCATCGATACACAACTAAAAAATTGATATGTGAATCGAAAATACACCAGTTTAACCTATGGAAATGTAACATTTTAGACTATAATCTTTTCGAATCACATATCAATTTTTCAGTTGTGTATCGATGGCTAGGGT